AATCCAATTTCAGTATACCAGATATACCTAATTATTATGATGTTTTAAAGTTATAGCGTGTATGACACGCTTTTAATTTGGCAATACGTAAGTCAGGTAATTTCCCTACTTGCATTCAGTCGGGCACGCTCACTCACTGCGGCTGAACTTTGCTACAACGTGTAAATATTTTACGTTTATCCAGAAAAAAAAACTATGTGTGTTTTATGATAGTACACAATATACAAGGGAACTATTTGAGACCAGGAAAACGTGTCATTTCATTCGTAAGTACTGTTTTAAAGAAAATTAATGTAAACATATTTAGTGATTACTTATTTTGACAATTGCTGACACCGTTGACACAAAGAGGCTAAAGAGCGAGATGTAATCTAGGTACTTTATAAATGAGACTTGAGAGTGAAGGAGACTACTTATGTGCACTCTATTGGCGGCTGTTGCCAAGGGAAGTTTCAGTAGGGACTAATTGTGCCACTTTAAAATGCAATAATGTTGGCGCATTAACTGTATATTTTATACGTCATTGCCTAATTACTTACCTCTGCAAACGAACCTTTAAGTGCGTATAAAATGTAACACAAAAAACTTAGGATATCCTAATAAATTTTTCCTCCCCGAAGAATAAAAAAAAAGGAATGGATGTTAAACCACGCTAACCTAATGCTATTAGTGTCTTAATACATTGTTCAGCTTTTATCTATTTTTATTGTTTTATTTTGTAAATTATATATTATTTGAGTAGGTTAAGTTAATTTGGATTATAAGTAGTTTTGAAGTTTTTGTTATTTAAATATTCCCAGATTTATGTCATGCGTGATATTAATTTAAGATTCTTTTTATCTTGATTTTATTCAAATTAATTGTGATTTCTAAGTGATTGAGTAATTAATATACAGTGAAACATGACTGATTTACATAATGAAGATAAACAAGATTTTACTTTTACCACTAGTAAAATAGAGACTACGTAAGCAAACCTTGGAATCGGACCTTGAAGTTAATGAACTGAGTGTACAGATGATTAATACATATCAAATATTGATAGGCTATCAAAGCGAGTAGAAATTACCAGATCAATTCATTAGCTACAACTTTCATTTTACGACGTTAGATACCAGGTACATTAACATACTTTAACCAATGCATCAAGTAAACGGTGATTACAAATCTTATGGTAATCGCTATTGAAATAGTTCCTATATTAGCATATATTCGTTACGTGGAAACCCTAATGTATTAGGTATTGGCATATTTTCAAGAATATCCTATGGTAAGTTTTAGGCGTTTTCTGTAAAGTGTTTTTGTTCCACAAGAGATGATAATGTAATGTAGATAGATAAAGGGTTTTTTTGCGTTCTCGGGCCAACTGTTCGCAGCCAATAAGAATAGATTTATAACTTTAACGTAGTTATCAATTTATTTATAGAGATACTTGATCTTTTGTGTGGGTTGATGCTACCACTGATATAACCCCGAGGATCTCCATAAGTGAAGATACCAGAGTACCATCATTTTTAACCGACTTCATAAAAGGAGGAGGTTCTGTGCTCGACTGTATATTTTTTTTATCTCAACGACCTTATAGTCCGGATTAACTTTAGTTATTTCAGAATCCCACAGGTATCTTAAACTTTTTCGAGAAAAAAGTATTCTATGTCTCAATCAAGGTCGCAACATATAGGTATGCATAATAAAAATCATCCAAATTAGTTTAGTACTTTTTGCGTGATTGATTAACAAACACACAAACATACAAAATTTCACATTTATAATATTAGTACTAAGTAGAATATAAGTCTACCAACAATCCGGGTTAAATCGACTAAGATTACACGTAAAAGTTAGAGATAACTGCCTATTTTACTACAAGCTTGAAACGATAGCCTTATTTCACTTCTCTGTTCAATGAATGACTATCTTATCAGAGAGGATATTTATACGAGTACTAGCGGCCGGCCGCAAGTTCGTCCGCGTTCGTTTACTTTATTTTTATGAGAATCCTAAATGAACTAACATTTTTCGGAATAAAAAGTATACTAAGTCTCAATCCAGATCATAACGTCCCAACTACCTCGCTTAACTTCACCTTAACTTCCCTGTAACATGATGTGTTTGATTATATAAATTTACCAAGAGTGTTTTTACCAATTTTTAATTAATCGACTCAAAAATAAAAACATACAAACTTTCAACCACTTTTTAACATACTTAGGAGAAAAATTTTCATAAATCCTTTGTTATTACTTATCTAGTTAATAAAAGGTACCTATTGTCCAAATTTCATAATTCTAGGTTCAAGAGTTTGAAGAGTCTCCACGTTGATGAGTCAGTCAAATTCTCTCTTTATATAATAATGTAGATTCTCTAATATGTTAAATTTGATTCTTCATATTTTACTATTTTCTCCCATAAAAAAAAACATTAAAAGTTATCATTAAGAATCTAGGATACAACAATGTAGAACTTAGACTACAAAAATGATATTTTTAGTTTTGTATATACTCTCGTTACTATGTTGGTTGTTCTGTTAAATTTTATTTTTTGCTATTACTTTCAAGTTGCCATTAACGGCTTGGGTTTGCACACACTCGATATGTAGATTAAGAGAAACAAAAGTTTTCGATTAATTTTTATGGTCCTGTGTTTATGGAGTCGGGTTTTTGATAATATTTCCAAGAATATATTTTAATAACTCCGCACTTTATCAAAAGTTTTGTATGATACCGCTCGCAGATCTTGTATTCCAATATTTTTTGGTTGACTGGTTGATAAAAATAAAGAACATATTCCAGAAAAGGCATTTAATTAATCTCTGGTGATAAAAAGTGACTAGATAAAAACCGACGGAGCTATTTGAATCTTTCAATAAAATACTTATACTATTTCATCATACTTATACCTATATATATTTTACAACCGCTTCAAGTAAGAAAGACGACAATACATCGCAGTCAAGAATAGGGTGATAATAATTTTGAAAAACTAATAAAACTCCGAATAAATAGGTCACTTTTATATCATACACGTTTATACTTCATAGCTTTTGTCTGTATATTTTTGATTACAAGTATTTTTATATTAATAATATTCTAAACTATAACAATATATTTTGTAGCACAGCATGCAAAAAATCTTTGATAAATTCTATTTATATAAATAGATAAAAAATAATATCAATTACTGCTTCGATGATAATGATTTTGAGTATTGCAAAATAGTCTAAGAGCCCGTGGCCGCTAGAGCTTAGTTATTTTATAAAAGCTGAAAGTTGTTTAGTGCATGCCTCGAGCACAGGTAAGAACGATAGCTTACGATAAAAATTAGATGATGGTGGCTTTGATATGTAACAGGTAATAAAGGTGTGTAATGTACTAGGCATAATAGTAAAAATATACCTTAAAATTAGGTTTGATACTGTAGCAATGCATTTCATTATGTTCAAGGGTGTCTGGCGGGGGCTTGCCATCAGACTAATTGCCTGGCAATTGGTTAGATCATTTTCTATTACTACAACTAAAATATAAAAAATAGGCTTTATAACTTCACGAATTACACAGGTCTGCAATAAAAGTCTGGATGTTTTCAATTGATTTCTATGTATTTAGGTGTTCTAAAAACTAAAAAATACCCAAAAAATTACAAAACAGGTTTTTTTGAAAAATGTAGAATTTTATTATAAAAAAGGGCTTTTGGGCTAACTTGAAGTCATAAAAAATAGGTAAAATTGTATTTTGATTGGTGTTTTTAAATGTTTATAGGCCATAACTATCAGTACTCTCTAAATAAAGAAGGTCCCTTTGTAAGCTGAGCCCGACAGTTTCTGTTATATTTGTTATATACTTAACATCAAAGTTTCCAGGCCTCTCGGAAGCAAAGTTTAAGGAAGGTGTTTTCGTTGGACCAGATATAAAACGGCTTATGGCTGATCCACAATTCATCACGACCATGACAAATACTCAAAGAGAAGGGTGGATTGCCTTTAAAGAGGCCATAGATACATTTTTCAGCAATAACAAAGACCCCTAACTACAAACAAATAATGTCAAAAAATGTTAAAAACATTTCAAGTTTTAGGTTGTCTCATATATATTAAAACACATTTTCTTCATTCTTACCTCGCCTATTTTTAAAAAGTTAAGGAGATGTGAGTGAATATCAAAGTAAACGATTTCACCAAGATCTGTTAAAGATGGAATAAATATACCAGAGAAGATGGAGCGTCTCAATGATACTTGCACTTAAGCAGAATACTGTTGGAGGATTCAGAGAGACCTTCCAGACGCTTCTTTTAAGCGAAGATGTACCAAGAGGAGTCTCACTAAGAATATTAAATGTGTTTAGTACTTACTAATAAATGTATTTAAAATAACAAAATAAGTTTCGTTACGCAATTCGCAATTAAAACAAAAATTCTTTTATCTTTATTTTAGGATGATAATTTGTTAAACATAGATACTTACATTGTCAGAAAACGTGACGTGCTATGGCAAAATTAATCATTCATTTTCGGATTCAGCACACCCAAAACATAAGAATTACGCAAAAAACCAAAACAGCTCTCAATTATTATATTTTTGCAGACTTGTGTTATGCCCAGTTCGAGTATATTACACACCTTTATTACCTGTTACCTGCCAAGGCCACCATAATCTAATTTTCATAGTGCATTTTTACCTGTGCTCAAGGCATGCGCTGAAAAAGTTTCAGCTTCTACAAAATAATGAACGTCTGGCGGCCACGGGCTCTTACTCTAAAAGAACGACACATTTTCAGTGACTATGAGGCGCAAAAAATAAACACGTGTTTTGCTGCACCCCAAAACCATAGTTGCTAGATTTTTAAAATATTCTTTTAATTAATATACCTATCATTACTAAGTAAATAAATTGTAGAAGCCTAGTAAAACTTTTTTCTTATACTTTTTTCCTTGTGATTTATAAATCTAATAGTTTAAATGTAAAAAAATATATAAAGCTATAATGTTATTATTTTGTTCACAGCATGGCTCCTGCACAACAAGATGTTACGATGCGCGAAGAATCAGTGCAACCGCTAATAAAAATAAGAGACTTAAAAAGTGAATACAGTAGTGAAAATGGTATAGACTGTTTTGACAATAATAATATAGTGATAAAAAAAAGGCCTAGTGATGACATATTCAGTGATAAAGATTTCGACTTGAGCCAGTACGAGGCGATGGAATTCACGCCGCGGATCAGGTGGCCAGACCTCATTGTACAATTAGCATTACATTCACTTTCAATATATGGACTATATTTAGTTTTAACGTTTGAAGTGAAATTTTTTACAATATTATTTGGTAAGTAAAATAATCTTTATTACATTAATGTTTGAATGATTCTTTTATAAAATGTTTGTATCAGTTGTACTTGTGAGTGATAATTTGCGGACTCAAAAAAGTTATTTTATGCACATCATCATAAACAATGATTAAGTTAATGCTAGAATAAATACTTTAAGAAATTATTTTACTTTTACTAGCTATTTGGATGCAATTACTTTTATTGAAATATGGAGAATCGGATGTACCTCAATTTTGTCTTAAAATGAAAATTTCTATTTTTGATGACATTCTAAAACACACCGTTTAGATCGGTTTTTTATTAAGAGAATCATCATCATCAGCCTATTAATGTCCCCACTGCTGGGGCACAGGCTTTCCCTATGGATAGAATAGGGAGATTGGGCCATGCCCCACCACGCGGGCCCAGTGCGGATTGGTGGGTGCTAATGACTGCAGATGCAGCCGGGACCAATGGCTTAACGTGCCTTCCGAAGCACGGAGGAGCTCGAGATAGTAATTTTTGGTCACCCATCCAATGACCGACCACTGCGAAAGTTGCTTAAGTTCAACGATCGCAGCCGAACGCGCTAACCACTTGCGCCATCGAGCTCCTCTTCTTGAGTAAACATTATTCGTGGAATCTACAAACTAGCCCTATAAATGCACAAATCCTGTTTTGTAATAGATTTCTAACCAAAAGACAAACTAAAATATTCTAATATTTCTAAAACATGTTCACTGTTAAACTTAAGAAAGCAAACATACATTATGCATGATAGGTATCCCTCAAAACAACAAAGTGCAAGGCGATGGAGGTTAACTTAAAAAAAATACTTGTGACTTGTATCTTACACAAACTAGTTACGTCGTCTGTTTGTGATATTACACAACATAAGGCCAATCCTATTATTTCATCACTTTAATGAAAATGAGAGGTTATTTTTTTCTATAATTTGTAAACTTTTTTTTATTTGTATAAAAAATCTGTCAGCGCCCCTAACACACCATATGTATCGGTTTCTGACGCTGTGCACTTGCACGAGTTTTTGTGGTTGGTAAGTGCGTCCGCCCGGATAGCATAAGATGCGGTTTCAAATCCCGTCTGAAACCTGGACCAAGTGTTTTTTTTGTAATTTTTTCTTTAGATTTAGAGCCTCCGCTACCTAAAGCGTGAGCACGGAGCGGACGTCTGCTCCGCGTGCTGTTTCATGTAATTTCATAGAGCAACGCTGCGTGAGGTTGGGCTACGAGGCACGCTCGATTGGCCGTTTTCTGTGCTCTTATCTGCATTGTTTTTTGACTAGGCAGTAATCCATTTTAATATTTTATTATAATACCGATCGTTCACCCGCGCGAACGAATTTGTATCGACGGCGCTGTGTGAGGCGGGTCTCAGCGACGGACGGCCGCTCCGTGCTTCCGCTAGGCAGCGGAGGCTCCTAAACAGCAAATCGTTATATTAGCATTGTGTTTCTTGCTTAATAATAAAGTTGACGGTATAAAATTTTAATTTTTAAACACTTTCAGTGGACATAGCATATAGCGAAGATAGTAACAAGTTATAAACTTTTTGAAAAAAAAAAATTGCTGTCGAGTGTAGATGCAGTAGCAGTAACTTGATAAAAATATAGTTAAAACAATATTTGAAACTGTGTTTATTTTTCAGTATTAGCAACGGTTTACACGTCCGGGTTCGGCATAACGGCGGGCGTGCACCGGCTGTGGTCGCACCGGGCGTACCGCGCGACACTGCCGCTGAGGATAGTGCTCGCCATCCTCTTCACAATAACCGGACAGGTAATGATGCTCATCATGATATACACGTCCGGGTTCGGCATAATAGCGGGCGTGCATTGGCTGCAGTCGCACCGGGCGTACCACGCGAAACTGCCGCTGAGGATATTGCTCGCTATCCTCTTCATAATAACCGGACAGGTAATGATGCCCATCATGATATACACGTCCGGATTCGGCATAATGGCGGGCGTGCATTGACTGCAGTCCACGGAGCACCCCCACTAGAGTCCGCATACAAGGGCAAGCGCTTACGCCAAGCTTAAGTAGTATATTACCTATGCGTGAGGCACGCCTACAGACGTCGCGATACATCGTTTCATTCGGTAACCGAGCGTTGGTCGAACTGCTTCTCTCGTTTTCGTGTTAAAAAACTGTAAAAAATGCCGTACTGTGTAATTAAATTGTGTGGAAAGTCGAGTACAACTTCCAGACTTCAAAAAAATGGTATTACTTTTCACTGGTTAGTTTAAATGCATTACAAAAAGACAAAAATACTGTTATATTAAATTGCTGTTAATGTATTTATTTTTTTGTGAACGCGTTGATGTCTTTTTACACTATCCCTTTCTCGCATGGGCTACATCATATATGCTATCTCGATCTCACACCGGCACGTGTATTGCTAGTGGCTCAGACGCAGCTCATGTCTCAACGCGTAAGTTTGTCGATAAGTTTGTCAGCTATAAAGCTTTTATAAAATAAAATAAAATAAATAAAAACTATTTATTTCATCGTATACAATAATAGATGTCATAAGTATACAACCAACAGTTTTATTTGATTGAAGTCAAACATATCCTAATAAAATTTTAAAAACGCGAAAATTTGTATGCATATTTGTTTTTTTACTCTTTCACGCTAAAACGGTTAAACGGATTTGTATGAAATTAAGTGCGCATAGTTTATGACCTAGATAAAGACATAGAATTAACGATATTAAATACCCTAGATACACCACGACCGCTCAAAATGTGTCCCAATATCTAAATAGTCTGTGGTCCCAATCAAGAAGTGCTTGAACTCCACTCAAGCACTTCTTAGTACACAGTCACACGCGGACCGTTGAAAAGTCAAGAGTTCCGTGAAAAAATGTAGAAAAATACTAATAGTACGTAAAGTGTCGTTTTTTCGACGGGTATCTAATTAATGTTTTTTAATTAACGCCTTTAAAGCAAATTTTATTGTTGTAATACTTACTATAAACTGATTTAATTTAAAATATTTGTGATATTCAAATGCATGGTCGGTTATACGTCGCCCTTAGCCATCTCTTTTCTTCGCGGTCTGTACCTGCTATATTGTTAACAGCGCATTCAGAATTGCGCGTGAAAAGTAAAAAAAAATAAGGTCTATATTCTTTCACATATAACACTAAATCGTAAAATTTTACGAACTTGACGCATGCATTTTAATTAAGACCTTATGCCGTATGCATTAAAGGTGACTTTCAATGTTTAAATAAGGCATTATATTGTTTTTGACCATGCGATCATCTTACGGACCTCCGTGGATCGTCCAATGTACCTTTTGGACAAGTTTCGGCCACGATTTTGTTCGTGTTGTTGTATCTAGGGTAGTTAATATCGTTGCATTAATACTTATTGTCCTGGACGTGTTTTTTTTTTTGTGTTGCTTACATATTAAATTATATGTAGTTACTAGTCGCGTCATGTAATTAGAACGCTGTAAGAAAGTGGAGAGGGTATGATTACGCATTTGCGCACCAAAGTACTAGGCCTCTATTCTAAATTGTTTATCGATAGAAAATATCGATATTTTCAAAAATCGATCTTACCCTCATCACTTCGCTGCACTGAGTATATGATCTGACCTTGACGCGTCCAATCACAGCGGGGCTGACCTCCCTGCACCCCACCGACTTTGGCGATTTTGATTCCAAACAAAATTTGTGTGATGCGGACTCTAGTGGGGGTGCTCCATGCTGCAGTCGCACCGGGCGTACCACGCGACACTGCCGCTGACAAATAACTATATCCAATCGAAATAAGTAAAAAGTTTTGAAAAAAAGACAGAAATGTTTTCATGGAAATCCAACTTGATTCTGTTTTCTCAGGTAGGTAATATTTTGACGAATAAGTAGAGGTTTGTTTTTATTTCGCAAACCACACGTATAAAAAAAACATACACAAGTGAATCAACTCCCTCCCTTCTCCAGTCCTAATCTTTTTTTGCTACCCGAGGTCTTCAACCTCGAGAAAACGTCTCGTAAGTAGCCAATTTCTGAAAAAAATAAGTTACTTTCTAAGACGCCTTCTAGGCTTGGCGAAACACGTAGAACCACCAATCACAGAAAACCAAGTTTGGGTCACCCCAGAATGGCCATTTCGAAGTTAATAAGCTTCCGAAAATTCAGACTGTACGCGCAAACCAAGTACCTCGGCATCGAGTTGATTCAATACATAGTAAAGCAGGAATTGTTTATATATGAAAAAAAACTTGGAGTAATCGAGTACATACGTGGGACACACAGAAAGTTTTGAGAAACTAAAAAACTAACTTCTATGAAAAAGATATTTTTATTAAATCTTTTTAAAGAATTGTCCACCAGCCTCTATACAAAGTTTCATACGCCTGAACCAATTTTCAAAACATTTTCCCAGTACACCTTCACCTTCTTCCACGCCCTTATCAAACGCTGCTAGCGCTTCTTCCGGCGATGAAAACTGTATCCCTTTGAGCTGATTTTTATTTTAGGGAATAAAAAGATGTCACACGGAGCCAAATCAGGACTGTAAGAAGGGTCCTAATACTCTGACTGGTGTGGAGTCCACGAAGTCCTTCGTTTTGATCGCAGAGTACGCGGGCGCATTGTTGTGGTGAAGAAGGACCCCGCGATTAGTTCGCTTGTTGCTCATTGCAGAAAAAACTTCTGGCAGGTATTTTGTGCTATACCATTCGGCGTTGATGCCGCTTTGGTCTCGAAATGGAATTGAAATTAGGTCAAAGTGAAAGAAACTAGCGATCAAAATTTTCCCTGCGCTCCTCAATCGCTTCACTTTCGTAGGCGTTGGTTCATTTTGAAACAGACAAACTGTCGACTGACTCTTTGTTTCTGGATCGTATTGATAAATCCAGGATTCGTCACCTGTCACAATATCGTAAACGCGCCGTGACAAGCCTGCATCAAATTTTTGTATCATATCACTGCACCAATCCACACGGGCCTGCTTCTGAGCTTCGGTGAGGTTGTGTGGCATCCAGCGGGAAACTATTCTCCTTACGCAAAATCTTGTGAACACTTCCTGAACAAATCTGCAGAGTATGCTGAATCTCTTCGTATGTAATTCATCTGTTTTCTTGGATTGAATTTTTTACTGTCAGCACACTTTCTACAGTGACAGCCGTCGTAGGACGACCACTTCTTTGTTCAAAAGTAAGACGACCGCGTTTGAACTCGCTACACCAGCGATAAATGGTTGCTTTTGAAGGTCCTTCATCCATAAAAGCAGTTCGAAATCGATCAAATGACTCATCTGTTTTAAGCCACATTTAAAATCTTAAAAAATCATTATCATTCTCGATGCAGATCCATTTTTTAATGAGACAAGAAAAATTTAATTGGCTCTCGAAAAATGCGGAGGGAAATTTGAAAATCGAACAGTGGTATGTTTACTTTTAAATAATCGAAGTTTTCAAAATAATTACAAGTGGCCAGTGCCTTATACATAAACACTTTTTTTCGCAAAACTTTCTGAGTGGCCTGATATCAGTGTTATTTAGGAAAGTAGAAAAAGAAGCGTAAATACTAATGCTTTTAATTTATCTTTTATCACATATTGTTTATTAACTAGATTGACACACTTTATATCTAGGAATAAAAATTATTTCTGTGGGATTATTTAATAAACTAACAACTACAACGCGGGCGAAGTTGCGGGCGGAAGACGTTGAGAGCGAGAAAAACCATTTTTAAAGGAAGGTTGATAGTAAATTTTGCTACGATATTTCATATTTTCCATGATGACCTGGAGATGGATAGAGAACTGCTAACTTCCCAAGCATTATAATTCATTCATTCATTCGATTTCAGGTCATTAAGTAATTTATTAAATACTTTGACAGTATACACGTGTATGTAGTTTTTATACAAAATGAACAAAACGCTATTACATTGATATGGTTTATGGATATACTTACCTACTACAGCGACATCATAAACTTAAATCACGACCACTCAAAACAATGCAATATTATAAGATGATCTATACAAAAAAATATTTCTAGATGTTTATGGAAAATAAATTAACTGCAAAAATCGAACTCCACTAGCTTCATCACTTCAGAGGAAATTTTTAAAAATAAAAAACAAATCGAGTGTCGTGGAAGATTTGGTTAGGACGAAGTTTAAAAATATTCATATACCACCCAAGTATATTGTATAACTAAAAAATATATACATTTATGTTCTTAAGTCATGCTAACACTTTTAATCAGCACCAGTCAAATTTGGAATCTCTATAGAGACATTTATTTCATCTCGTATTCTCACATTGCTTAATGCTGTATTTCTGTTAGCAAAAATTCGTTACAATGTTTTGACAACCAAACTCATTTTACATCTGCATTTTCGATTTTGAAGTATAAAAAAGTGTTGCGATACATATGAAATAACCAGAAATGGTAATATTCCTGAAATAAGATCGGTTATCAGTCGAACGGCAGCTAAGCACCTAACTCATTAAAGCGAACTTTACGTATCATCATAAAATGTCTACAACTTGTAACGCTTGTTCATAGCCAATTCTAAGTCTGTATTACATGGAGTGTAATGGTTGTAAACAACTATACGATCTAGAATGCTTTGCTATAACGCTGAAAAGTTTTCACGAGTATTCGAATGAAATTAAGCTGAAATGGACTTGCCCTTTATGTGTTGCTAGCTTGCCTTAACGTGATAACTCGGGCACTCCGGTGCGGTGTTCTGCTGATCATAATAACACTTTTACGATGGAGGAGCCCAACAACATAAATACTTGCCG